TCTTCTGCCTTATCGCCCATAATGTAAACCAGAGCATTTACTTGTTCATTCTCACTTTTCTCTGAAAGTCCTGAAGCGATTCTATATCTTTGAAATCTTTTGAACCATATCGGCCATTCATTAGGTTTACCAAAATTAAACCCTTCTGGAGCAGCAATTTGCATATATTAGCCTTTTTTTTCTTAAAAAAAATAATTTACTTATATTTCAACTTATAATTTTAATAATTGCTTTTACGCTTTCTTTTCCACGCGGTTAGGCTTAGCTTAGCTCGTTATAAAATTTACTTACAGCTTTAGGCTTCTTTTCCTTTTACCGCTGCCACCATGTTTTGTTTCTTTATAAATCAGGATGCAGAGATGAACAATTATTTATATTTATTTTAAGAGAGGGAATTTCCTAACTTATGGCTTATTTATCATTTATTTATTTACAGCCTAACTCGAGCTGTTTCTATCTCAAACATAAACAAACATGATGATAATTACTCTTTCATTTAAATTCTCTGAATATTTACAATTACATCACAATGAGTACCTTTAATTATATATATATATATATTTTAATTATATATAAGTATTTTTAATCGATTATTTTTATAAGAATAAATTATTTAATTCATTATAAATAGAAATTTAATTTTTAGTATCGCATTTATATTTATTCGAAATTTATATTTAAACGATACTCATTATTTTTTTTTATTTTTATATCGTAGATATCGTCTTGCACAATTATATAAACTTTTTTAAATAAAGTACAATACTTAAAATAAAATATGTTTCTTATACAATCTAAAATTAGAAAATAAACTTTTAAATCGGTAACCTCAAGGAGATAGCCATTATAAAGCACTAATATTTGAATTCGTTTTACTTAATATATTAGCCCTGAAAGACCCAAGGTCATCATCAGGCGTGGAGCAGACTTTCTGCCAAAACCTAAGCCTATCTCCGTCGCAATGGTGGCGCTGCTTGCGAGTTAAAGCTACAAATCTGCAAATAACTCTAAGGATATTCAAGATATTCAAGAAATTATTTTTCGAAAACCTTTCCGGGGATATACCTAATAATATCCCAAAATTTCACGGCGATTGGATGTATGGTTTTTGAATCTATAGAGTACACACAGACAGACAAACAGACAGACATTCATTTTTATATATATACTAGCGGATGTGTACCCGGCTTCGCCCGGGTTTTATCCGAGTGAAAGTTTGCCTAACGAATATTATATATTATGAAGTATAATAAACAATGTTAAAGATTAGTTTTAATTATTAATCAAGATTATGTGTGAATATGTGAGAAAGATGTAATATCGTTGTTGTTTTCTTGGCCGACTGTTTTACATATGGTGTTATCTTAAAATTGCTTGTTTTGAATATTTTTTTAGATTGAGTTGAATGAATTGCTGAATTTTTTATATATAAATAAAATTAACTCTGTTGATTTTTTTGTATTTAATCGATAACAGCGAAGTTACGCATGTTAAAGTTAGGAAAAATATTTTGATGTTAAGCAAAACCTGCTCCATCTCGTTTTACATAAATGTTGAAAATTTGGTCGAAATTGATGCATTGTAACGAAAGTTTTTAGCGAACACCACTTATGAAATTTCCATTTTATTAATATAGATAGATTATATAAAAGGGCGTACCTGGATCTGTAAAGAAAAAATTGGTCCAGGTATGCCCTTTTATATAATCTTAATTAATAGATTGCTTTTTGACTCAAAAAATTTATATTAGTAATTCAAATTTATAAATTCAATTGCCATCTATCAAAAGTTTATTAAATTTTAGATGGCAATTGAAATTATAAATTTAGTTAACTATTAAAGTAATTATCAATATGATTTATTAAAAAAAAAAAAAGGGCTCATCCGGGATTTGAACCCGGGACCTCTCGCACCCTAAGCGAGAATCATACCCCTAGACCAACGAGCCACGGCGTTTCTCACTTTGTAGAAGTTTTTATGAAAGATGAGTTAGGAGACGAAAGTAGGTCATGAAGTTCCCCCTCTCTTCTCATTGTCAAACTGGGATGAAAAGGGAAACCTTCCAATTCACCCAACTGCTGACAGAAATGTTCCTCAATGTTAACCTGACCTCAGATATAGGATGTTAATCATTTGTCTTCAGATTGAATGGAAACATTGTTAGATCTGGTTGTCCCATACAGTGCTGGTACAGAAATGGTATAAGCCCTCCAATTTAGACAGCCACGACCTGGGATCGAATCCTGCTTTGGGCACTTTTTCTTAGAAAGATTTTCTTCAAAGCAAACTGTAGATAGCCAAACAGACCTTGAGGCAATGAGTGCTGTGAACTACAATTTCGGCGAATGACTCCACGATTCCACCGCCATGTGAAATCCAAGACTTCCCTCCAAGAAGACGATGTCCCTAATGATGTAACGATAACAAAGCCGCTATTCCTGTCGCAAAAAAAGGGCGTAAAGCCACTAGGGACCTTTTCTAAGATGCTGAGAGAAACCTTGATTTAAATACACAAGATCCACGTTGCTAGTAACGATATTTACAGAATATTCTCTTCACAGAGAGTATTGGCCTTTGTCTCAGAAGATCCATGTGTTTTACATACTGTACTCTTCCATTTCAAACACTGATAGTGTTATAGCCAATTCAACTCAACAGGTAGTAAAGATGGACTTCAGGTAGGCCTGACTCTGTTCCAATACCTGAAGCTATAGACAATTTCCTACTATATTTCTTCTTTGTCAACTACATTTGTTTCTATTTTTCATTTCCTTACATTTTGTTCGAAATACATTATATAACACACTGCGTTACTATTTTTACGGAAGCCTTAAATTTTCATATATATATATATGTGACAATATAGTGGTAAATGATGTGGTGAGGTGAGAAATAATCACACGACGAGCTGTTAGAGCAATCATCCAGGCAGCCAGCCGAGAGAGAAAGAGGTGGCGAGTGAGACGTTATCTACTGAACGACTGTTTTTCCCTGTGTACACAAGCGGGGCTAACAAAAGATAAGCGCCAGGTGGTGACGCCCCCCTCAGGTATGTGACCAAAAAATGGTCGTAAGTTAGTTTTCTTAGCTTTAGCTGCCCATCTCTCTCTCGTCGGCTGTTGGATTGTTTTATTAATCCTGGAAGAGCATATATTATGACATATATATATTTTTTATTTCAATTTTTAATTTTAATTTTTGAATTTTTTTATCATTAATCGTTTTAGACCAATGACAAAGTTATTTTCATGTTATCTACAAGAATTTGTAAATTAAGTTTACTGTGTAATAAATTGATAAAGAGTGAGCAATTTCTCGAAATATCTTGAGAAAAATGTGTTTTTTTTTCTTTATAGATCCAGGTACGCCCTTTTATATAAACTTATTTGATGGATCGCCTTTTGACGCAAACTATATATCTTCTGTTAAAGTAGTAAAAATCTCGACACCATCTCGCACAGATATATGGAACAATCTTTCTAAAAAATGACAGCTTTTTGGTCCCTCGATCCAGATTAAACAAGAATGAAGGTAAGTAATTCATAATCAAATCTAATTCAAATAAAAATCGATTACAATTAGCAATAAATAAAATATAATTAAATTCTAATGATGAAGGCAGAAAATAATTTTTTACTGAAATTCACACAACTTTATTCTTAGTTATATAACAAATCTTAAATCATCAAAATCAATCTCACTATTATAGAATTCAAAAGACCAACATATATTTGAAACAATTCAAAATAAAGGTAAATGAAAAAAACCTCTAAATTCTGAATTAAGAACCTTTTTTTTTTTGGTGTCAATAAAAAATAAAAAATCTGAATCAAGTCTTATGAAAAAAATCTAATTCAAATCAAAATATTAATATGTGTGGTCAAAATTGCTCCTTTAAAAATATTATAAATATTATATAATATTCGAACAACAAGCCACAGTATTTTGGTGGCTCCTGCACAGCTTCTGTGTTGGTCGTTACATTGGCCGCCTTGGTAGTCGTGTTCGTTCCTATCATTTGACCCTTTTAAGATACTGAATGTAGTTAACTGTGGTAAAATATTCTCATTTATGTTTTTTTAAACATTTGGTAGGTTTCCGCGGCTGAGTTCTTCGAATGGAAACAAAATATCAAAACTGCTTATCACGAATTGGCTTCATTTTACGAAGATGAAAACAAGACATCCATCCATTAATATTTTGGCCATAGATTTGGTTTAGTCAATTTGCTAGCTAAACACCTCTTTGGCAGATTGTGAAGATTCCATTAGATCTCTTGTGGATCTTTTGGAATAAAGTACGCCCTAGGCTGACGCGAGCCATTAGCCTGAAACCATGGTCTCCAGGTGGACGCTTCTCAGTTTGCCAAAGCTGGTGTTATGGCTTTGTCACCGACCCGAGGCCACTAGTATGCCGCGACGGTCAATAAATGGCGTCTAGCTTTGATGTCTATTTTGACGGGAGAGTTGGCATTTATCTTTATAAAGACATCCTTGGGAATATGAGGCATGCCATGAAACCCTCGAGTAGAATTGTTTCCGACGTATCCAGGCCGTGATTTATCTCAAATTTATTTTACTTCCTTAAGTTAATTGTGAGTCATAAAAATAAAATCCTTTCATTCCTTATTGAATGGCTTTCGTACATAGGTATATATTATCATGATTCATTAGCGCGTCATCTGTTATAAGGAATTCTAACTATTTTTGACACGTATGTTTCTTTTAAAAATAAATTAATCTCTACTGCCCTTACTGCGATGGTAAAATAATGGGAGGGCCTGGCTCATCAGTGGTGAACCCTCCCAGCGGTTTCGCCAGTAAAATCTACATTATTATATATATATTTTGATTTAAATGAAATTTAATTTTTAAGAAATCCTAGCTATATAGGTGTGACGTTGTGAACAAATAAAAGTGGATAATACTAATAATTTAGAGTTTATTTTCATCATAGTGGTATAGGTAGCGTGGCCCAGCGGTCTAAGGCGCTGGTTTAAGGCACCAGTCTCTTCGGAGGCGTGGGTTCGAATCCCACCGCTGCCACTTTTTAACTGATTATAATCATCGAAAAGATAGAGGCTGCCTGGCCGGCATTCTTAAAATTAAAGATACTTCGGCCAGTAAATCTTTTTATTATCTCGACGTTTCGACAAAAATATTTTGTCCTCGTCAAGAGCAGACAAAAATTAAAACATTTAGCAAAGCGTTAAAATTTATTCTAAGGCTGCAAGGGCGTTCTCAGGCGATATTTCAAATTTTGTACATCTGAAGCACGAGTCAAAAAACAAATATTTAACTCACAAAATACAATGATCTTTGAATTAAATTATAATAAACATATATATAATAAATAATTATAAACAAAATAAATATTAAAAGAATAATAATATTTACAAAGATTAGTTAAAATGTTGGCCGACAGATGTCACTAGGGTCCTCAATCACGTTTGGCCTTCGAAAACATTCCGTCACAAAATAGAGATTCAACTGAGGCATTGCAAATACTGAAAAGAAGCCGATGGAATACTCATAAGGTCATTGTGAATAGGCTGGATGAATTTTCGTCCTAATTTATTCACCAAATGGCTGACTTGGCATCTAGTACTGTTTAGATTTAAAAAATATAAACGGTAGCAATGCGTTTCTTTATTTTGCAAGCTTTCGGATCTTTATAATCCTTCCACAGACATAGCTATAAGTTGAAAGAATGAGTATATATAAATATACAATATTTAATGACAACAAAATTTTAAAAATCTACATAAACATTTTACAATATATATATGTCATAATATATGCTCTTCCAGGATTAATAAAACAAACCAACAGCCAACGAGAGAGAAATGGCCAGCTAAAGCGAGACACTTTAGACAACTAACTAACGACCATTTTTTGGCCACATTCCTGAGGGGGGCGTCACCACCTGGCGACTATCCTGGTTAGCCCCCCCGGTTGTGTACACAGGAAAAACAGTCGTTCAGCTGATAACGTCTCACTCGCTCTCTCTCGGGTGGCTGCCTGGATGATTGCTCTAACAACTCGTCGTGTGATTATTTCTCTCCTCACCACATTTACCACTATAGTGCCACATATATATATACACTGCGTGACATTGAAAATGGAACACCAAGAAATAGTGGCCAGAAAATTATGCAAATTTCAGGGTAGACGCGCCTAACCGAGTTATGCAAATGATGTAAAATGCGCAGCTCTCGTGCGCACATGGAGTAAGATATAAGGGAAGGAACTTGCAGAAAGGACAGTATTCGTGTCGTTATTTCTTCAAGGAAAATCATGGTAGAAATTTTGTTCTTGTGTCAAAAGACACGTGTAATAACAGAGAATGCCAGGTCATCGTAAACGGAGGCAGTTCAAGCAGACAGACGCTTTTACGAGGGGCATGGTGATCGGACTGAAAAGGGCAGGTTGGTCCATACGTCAAATCGCAGCTGATACACACCTTGGTGCGTCCACGGTGCACCGACTGTGGAGAAGATGGTTGGAACAAGGAAATGTGGCAATTTATAGGGATGTCGGTGCAACCAGAGTGACGTCAGCACGTGTGGATCGGCGTATCCTTCGACAAGCAGTGGCGGCCCCACAAGCCACTTGTACCGCCATCCTGCAACATGTGCAAGACACCCTAGATCATTCCATCTCGACCAGAACCATTTCCCGTCGATTGGTTGCTAATGGCTTGCACTCGTGCCGTCCGCTAAGAAGACTGCCATTGACCCCACCGAATAGGCGCCAACGTTTGGAATGGTGCCGGGCTAGATCGACGTGGATGACGGAATGGCACAGGGTCGTGTTCTCAGATGAGTCGCGTTTCTGCTTGTCCAGTGATAGTCGCCGTGTACGCGTGTGGCGTCGACGTGGAGAAAGGTCCAATCCGGCAGCAATTGTGGAACGCCCCACCATGCGACAACGTGGAATCATGGTTTGGGGCGCAATCGCGTATGATTCCAGGTCACCTTTACTTCGTATTCAGGGCATTATGACGGCCCAACGATACGTTGATGATGTGCTGCGACCGGTGACACTCCCCTACCTTCAGGGGGTACCCAATGCCCTTTATCAGCAGGATAACGCCCGACCGCACACTGCTCGCATTAGCCAACAAGCCAGCAAGATGTACAGATGCTTCCCTGGCCACCGTACTCTCCTGATCTCTCACCAATCGAGCACGTCTGGGACATCATTGGACGCCGTTTGCATACCTTGCCACAGCCGCGTTCAGAAGACGAACTGTGGCAAATGGTTGAGAGGGAATGGAGAGCCATCCCTCATGACGCCATCCGTACTCTGATTGACTCTCTACCTAGACGTGTTGCTGCGTGCATCGCCGTCCATGGTGGTCCTACTTGCTACTAAGCCGACGCCGTTCTCGCTCTGTATTATGACTATCATTTTGAAATAAAGATCACTTATTGTTCGTCCCTGTCTCTCTCTGTCTGCCGAGTTTCATCACTTTCTGGCCACTATTTCTTGGTGTTCCATTTTCAATGTCTCGCAGTGTATATATATTTCATAAAACTATAGGACATCTATATATTCGAACAAAATAGACACGAAATAAAACTTCCTCCTATATACGAATAAAAAAATAAAATTAAATAGGGCATAGGGCTATGGGTGTGAAGGACAATCTGGGGAAGATGAAGGAGGTGAAAATGAAGAGCTGGGTTTCCTGAATGATTGGTACTGAGATGGTAGTTCTATATGTCTGTTGATACTGCTTAAATCATGAGAGACGAAATATTCTAATAGTAACCTTAGGTATTTGGATTTAATGTTTTGGTGATGACAGATTGGGTCGGAAAGGTTAAAAGAGAGGCCGGTTTTAGAGGTGTGCTGAATGGATGGAACTGTCTAGATGGGCGATTTTGTGATTTCAGCAATGATGATTTCTGGGTAGGAAGTGAGATATTCCATTTTAATCCATGGATCTATGGTCCATACAGATCTGAACCTTTCCATTTGGTTTCATAATGGTACTATCATGTACGCCCACTCTGCTGGTTGTCTACTTTGAAGATGTTCTCTTGTTCTTCCATCGGCCTAGCTCCATTTCTACCGGTATTTCAGTGCAAACTTAATTCGGTGTGTCATCTGAATACAATCGATAAACATTTTCTTTCAAGATGATCGCATACTCTCCAGGGAGTGTTCCGATCTCATCATCAAAGACATCTCTGAAGGACTCTATTATACTCTTGAGTGAAAAATCCTTTAGATTAGTCATAGTAGTCCCATGCTTTAAATTATTCTATTTTTACTAACATCTCGAATTTGTTACAAGCTGACAACCATAAAATTGGTAGAGATGGTAAATGAACAACTGGGAATTCAAGAATTTCTGTTTTTTTTTTCAGTTTACCCCTGATTGGTAATTCATCACCTGTATAGAAATAAACTGTAAACCCAGTTGGATATATACAAGGCTTATTGGGCCAGTGTTTTATGGTGTCAGCAGGCAGAATGTTCACTTGGGACCTGTATTGAACTTAAATTTGACTTCAATATTTTCTACTGAGATCATCTGAGTCCATTCTAGACCAGTAATGCTGTCTAGAGATAGATATTGAAGCCACATTTGTTCTTCTTCTTCAGATATTTCCTCCAACATATGCACTCTGTTCCTACACATTTTAAAAAAATGGTTTTTGGCATGATTTACTTATTTTCCCATAAGCAAAAAAATTACCGTATGTATGTCTGGGACCAAATTTATTACAAACTTTGGTGTTAGGATAATTGTTTTCAGACTTATTAGGTTTTCTACCATCTGGATGTTTATATTGCTCATTAAATTTCACAGAGTGTAAATTAACATACAGTATCCTATAGCAAGTATCTTATAACATAGTTGTATCTTCTCTTTAGTTATACTTTTTACCTGTTCTCTAGAAGTTTCAGTGTCTCTTTTCAAGTCTATAGCTTTAGCTAATTAAAGATCAGGATTTTTTAGCATCCTCTCTTTTAAAGCTTTGTCTTTAATTCCAATTATAATTATATCCCTGACCAAGGAATCTGTAAGCTCCCCAAATTCGCAGTCCATGCTTTATTTTTAAATTCTGTTGCATAGTCATCAAAATTCTGACTCTCCCCTTGTTCACTTGTAAAGAACTGGTATATCTCTTATAGGTAGTGTTTTCATAAAGATTTAAAGTGTCCATCAAACAGTCAAGTATATCCGGAACAGTCGGATAGTCATCAGTTTCTTGTATTTTGAATGTATAATATATATCTAAGGCTAACTCACCAATATTTAAAGAGTAGAATAGTCCTTTGTGTGTCAGAATTTATTTTCTATCTATTTCCTTAGATAAATAAAATAATTAGAACCGTTTCTTTCATTTCTCCCATGCTTCTGAAGGGTTTGTTCCCGGCACAAATGGCTGAAAACCATTCCCGGTTTTTGAGGTCATATTTTATTTATTATATAAAAAACGCTTCTGAAGCAATAAGTTGAATATTCTTTGAGTGTGAGAGCTTGTAAAAAAAATAGGAACTTACCCTCTATTATTAATTTGTTTATTTTTGCTTTGTCTTCTGTTTTGCACAAGTTGAATCTGGTTAGAACGATGTATGAAAATTAGATGATTCTTTTGTTGCCATAAATACGAGGTAATTAGCTCGTTTCTCTCTATATATATCTAAAATGTTTAAAGTTTAATAAATTAATTTTATAAATTTGAGAGTTGTCTTCAAACACAATCCAACAAATGGCTGCAGAGCGTGGTTATTAGAAGAAAAAAAGTAAATAAAAGAAAATCTAATCTTCAAATTGTAAGTAAGAACAAATAATTATGATTGATACTTAGTACTAGCTTTTCAAAATTAAAATTTTACCAGCTTATAGAAAAAATGGCAGATTCTTCCTCATTGCCGGTGGCTAGAACCATTAAACGGTACAAATTACCCAATATGGGCATTAAAGGTCGGGGCACTTCTACGTGCAAAGAAATTATTTAAATGTGTGATTTCCGATCCAGAGCCTGATATTAAAGATAAAGATTTATGGGATACATATAACGAAAAGAATGATGAAGCCTTTGGTGTAATTATAACGACACTCTCAGACGAA